GATAAACCAACAATTAAAATTAATACAAGAGTCTAATAGGGATGCTAAATATAGGAACACCACCAAAATTCAGTATCAGTCCATCATGTCAGAAACTAGCATTAAAAATACAAGCATAAGACCTGAGTTTGAATCTCTAGCACTTGTGTAAAAAGTCAGGCCTGGCTGCCCATGCATACTACCTCAGCATTAAGAGGTGGGCACAGGAGCATCCTGACGGCTTGCTGGCCAGCGAGCTTAGCCCAAATAGCGAGCTTCCTGTTCAGAGAGAACCTGATTTGAGGCAAGACAGAGAGGAGAAGAGCAGTGGAGGAAAACACTGTGTGTCCTGCTCTGTTCTCGGACCTGTGTGCGCACACATGGGCATACATGCCAACACACACACCAGTCACAAAACTACAAAATACCAGAACTATGCCAAACAAAAATACAACAGCCCTGTAAGGAAGGCATTACAAAACCCCAATAAAGACTGGTTTCTGCCTGGTGTCTACATTCAGTAAGAGGTCAGTAAACTTCCCCAGACACTAACAATTAATGCAAAGATGCAAATGTCCGTAGGCAGTTAAAATAATTTTGAAGAAATAAAAAAGGCAGGGTCTCCCTGGAATTTCAAATCCATAAATTGATTTAGAAGCATGGTTTTATCACAGAAACAGAACAGACAGAGTGCAGAAAGAGCCCCGCAGAAACTTGATGTTTAAGAACGGTGCTAGAAGAATTCTTTGTTGTTATTGTTATTGTTCAGGACAGGGTTTCTCTGTGTAGCTTTGGAGCCTGTCCTGGAACTTGCTTTGTAGACCAGACTGGCCTCAAACTCATATAGATCCTCCTGCCTCTGCCTTCCAAGTGTTGAGATTCGGTGTTGGGATTAAAGGCGTATGCCGCCGCCACCACCTGGCAGGTAGAAGAATTCTTGGCCAGAAAAGACTGGAGAAAGTATGAGCCAACTAGGATGTTCCCTCATAGACAGTATAATAGATTCACATACGTCGGGTATAAAAATAAGTCCCACCCCAGATAGCTGTCTAGAATTCCATCCAAAATAACATGGAAATCACAAAGCTAGCTCAAGAACTATCTGCCCTTGCAGAAGACCTGGCTTCAGTTCCTAACACCCATGTGGCAGCTCACATACATCTGTAACTCCAGTCCCACGAGAAGGTCTGTCACTCTTCTCTGGCCTCCATGGGCATGAGGCACACACTTGGTGCACAGACATACACACAGGCAAAATGCCCATACTCCGGAAAAAAAAAATAATTTTTGAAAAAATGCACCTAATTAAGGCCCACCCCAATTCTTCTTAAAATAGACCTAAGTAGACTTAATTCTAACTCTGACTCAAGTTAGAATCTGCATGTTAACAAGATCCCTCCAAGTACTGCAGGATGGTCCCCTCACTCAAACCTCCAAAACACTCTTTACACTCAAATAGACAATAACTGAGTAGGCAAAATGTAGTGCCTGGCTCTACTTGGAACATCCTCATCCCGGCCCATCCAATAATCGAGAGACTTAAGTTCAGCCCCTGTGATAAACTAGCTAGACCTGAACTGACCTGATCAACCGTTTTCATCACGTCACCCCACTCCAGGCACAAGCATGGATCCCGGGCACACCTACACACCGGGGCTTCTGTGTTTTATACAGAGGCGAGATCTCAGACCTTGATCATGCTAACAAGCATGCTGTGTTCCAGTTCCCCGCCCATAAAAGATCAGAAGCAGAAAATCTAAAGTAGGGCAAACGGGAAAGGGATAAAATGCAGAGATAGCGTGAGATCTACGGCGGGGTTTGACCGTCGAAAGAATAGCTTCGACATTTTCATGGTTATTTAGTTTTAAAGATCTGTTCACACCCCAAGACTGTGGCTCAGATCCTAGAGGAATACCCCTCTCTATTTAAAGGACACTTGGGGTGATTCAACAAACAGAAAGACAGACCCACTGCCAGATTCTACTCAAGCCTCAGTCTCCCTGATTCCGACCCACTTGGTCCAGTGCAGTTGACCTAAGGGTCCTGATGGCTTTGGGTCCGTTTGTAACAGTGAGAATACATCCTGCATATCAGATACTTACTCTGCAATTTCTAACAGTAGCAAAATTACAATTACAAAGTATCAAAGAAAATAATGTTGTGGGGGGGCACCACAACATGAAGAACTGTATTAAAGGATCTCAGTGTTGAGAAGGTTGAGGACCACTGGGTTAGGGTGAGTTCCAGGCTCTTGTATGTGGTTCTTAGTGCTTTAGGGCAGGTCAGTCCGTGCAGGGTTCAGGGGCCTGGACACCTGAGTAGCTGCTACTTAGGCCCTTTACAGCCTGAGGCATCACTGGTTATGGTTGGTTAGAGTGGCCTTGATTAACAGGATTTTCCTCTAAGAAGAAACACCTTATGTATATGAAGTACGCTTGACCCCAAACCAGAAAACTAAATGTCACAGGTACCTGTACCTAACTCCTATATCATAGGCACATGCAGACAGCTCGGGGCTATGGGTAGACACTCGTCATCTTGCCCTTCTGAAACAACCCCAGACCCCTGCCTACTATCCCATCCCACCCCCGACCGCATTTGTCCAGTAATCTCACCAGGGATTCTGTCCCAGTGCGGCCTGACTCCAGAGGCCTGGGTGGGCTCCCGAGAATCTACATTCCTTACAAGCTCCACGTGATGCATATGTGGTAGGCCCTAAGGACCACACTTGGAGTCCGGGGACTCTAGAACAGGTCTTCCTTTTGGCCGCTACTCACACTTGGAATCCAGCCAAGGAGGACGACCTGCCTAGGTGCAGAAACTTCAGCCTCAAAACTTTCCTAGCGGATCTCAGGGGTTTCCATCCCTCAGCCACGCCCTTCTCCCCGTGAAGCAACCTTATTGGAGGATCAGAGACGGCTGCGTGACGCGCTCAGAACACAGCTTGCTGTACTCACACATAGCAGAAACCCAGCCCTGACGCCTAGCTGGTAAAGAATCGACCAAGCTCACAAGCGAAAGCAGCCAAGTGGAAATGAGACCTGAGGCAGGACACAAAGGCTTCGTCAGCTCAGGGGCCTTTCAGGATGGCTGCTTTGCGAAATACGCGTGCTTAGCCTGTGGGAACTCCCAGATTTAAAGGCTCAAAAGGGACCAGAAAAGCCTACAGCCTGACATGCTGGTCGCTCTGAGATAGTGAAGATACCAGACCTGGTGGCTTTGGTTCACACAATTGCAACTGTCGTCCCCCCCCCCCGTTGTGGAATTTACATGAAAAAAAAAAAAAGTAACAAAGTCGGCGGCTTGCCTCACCCTCTTCCATTTCACGTTTCTTGTCCTGGCATCAATTCTTCTGAAACACCAAGCTAGCATGGAGTGCACCACTGCTCAACATTAAAAAGCTCTCATGTAAACTTAGCAGGAATAGTTCCAGAATGAGGAGAAAGGGAAGCGTATTCCTAGAACCCTCACCGGCAAACGGATACTGCTTTCCCAAACACCTCAGAGGAAAGCAGAGGGCGCAGGAAGGAAAACAAATTCAACAAACATTCTGGCTCCTGGGGCCATGCGTATGCCTGGAATGGGCCACCCTGGCTCGTGGGGGACTCTACTCCCTTAGCACAAAAGCTGTGTCAGCAGCACTGTTTAAACTGGACTTGTGGGCAGTGAGAAGTTTCCGTGGGTGAGGCTCCACCAAGCCTGACAACCTGACTTCCATCCCAGGGAACCAATGACTCCACGATGGATGTTCTTCTCTGACCCCCACGTGGCACGTGCCCTCCAAAGACAAACACAATAATAATGAATTAAAAAATAATAAACACACTAGACTCATTATCTGCACTCACTCAGAACTTCTCCGCCAAGCTTATTCTAAAAGTCTTCCTCTTCCTATGCAGCTAACTGGGTCCGGGGACAAAGAGCCATCTCTAGGGAAATCAGCCTGAAAGCCAGCAGTCCGAATGCTAAAGGCTAACACCACTAAGAGCAGCGCCGCTGGGCTCAAGTCTTTTCTTTCTTTCTTTTCCTGGATGATCCGAAGGCACCTTGGCTGACCTCAGGTCTTCTCGGCATATCTGTGGGATTGACCAGATGCCCACACTTGATCACTCATTGACCTTCCAAAGACCACAAATGGCTCCTTGGGTGCATCCTCAGAACTAGGTGAAGCTCGGAACTGCTCACAACTGCTGGCTGAAGGGTTGTTTGAGCAACCGGCCTGGAGCTTGTTTTGCATGTTTTTCATTAATTTCTTAATTGCCCTAATGGACACGTGTTCCTGTAGAATAAAGGGAAGTCGTTTCTTTATTTGTTGACAATGAGACAGTTTTGATTGAGCAACTCAGAGACTTTCCAAATTCATTGCTCTTGGGGTAGGAAGGGTTCATCCGCTAAGTCGGAGGCACAAAGACAGAAACCCATGTTTTCAAAAGTCTGTTTCACAAGACCTATTAGAAGACCACAGCCTCATCAGAGCCATGGAAAGTCATGTGGGAAAGAGGGTGGGGACATGAACTAAACTTTGCAAAGGAAATTGCCTCTAACACCCAAAAGGACAGGCTGAAGGTGATAGAGAGAACCCCGGAGCGTCCAGATGTGGGTCAGGCTCTCAGGTCTCTGATCCCAGAGGTGAAGAAGGACCTCTCCCTGGGTGGCCTGCCTTCGGGTGTGGCTTGTGCAGCCACACACACAATAGTTGCTTTGGACCTTGGGATTCCTCCATAAAGGAAGCGGAGGGCAGTGTCTCCTAAAACAGGACTTTGCTGCGGCCGAGGATACCCGGAGGAGGGCAAGACCAACTGGGGCCTTGGAGAAGCCCTAGGTCTGATGGGATCCGATCTGCTAGTGCTCCAGAAGTCCACCTGGTTGCCCCGCCTACCATCCTTGAGGTTCGCTCCACCCACTGTTCTGCCCCGCCTCACTCCAGGGTGCGCAGGCGCACACCTGGTGGTAATAAATAGCCTAGACTCTTATTGCCCACCACTAGGGAGTAGCTTTTATCAGAGATTGTCTTACAAGTGTTTGCTTCGTGCTTCAACCGGATGCCATGGCTGAAGCACCGGCATCCGGGCCAGAGAGACTCGATGACCCTGAACGCCTGTGGATCTGGGAAAGGCACGTGTACTTGGATGAGCATAAACGAAGCTGGCTGCCCATAATCCTCGAGGTACCAAACCGCCTTGGGGGCAGCAGGTCGGGCAGCAGGGGTGTGCTTTGCCTGAGCCTGGGAGTTCTGGTAGCTGGAGACCAGGGGACAGAGGGTTCCATGTGCCAGAAACAGGAGGGCGGGGGAAGTCTCAGGTAAAAGTACTCTGGGTTGGGCCTGGCAGGCTTGGAGGAGGGTGGGAACACCTTGAGGACAGTGGTCAGGGCCCCCTCACATCAGGTCTAGGGTGTGTGACTATCATTTGGGGTAAAACAGGGCTTTTCTAAACCATAAAACTGGAATATCTTTAAGGTAGCTAGTAGAGTCCACATCCGTAATAAGATTTAACTTTGTTTCGGTTATGGAAGCCTCGGGATGGGTCTTAATGAATGTCGGCGTCTTCAAAAGAAATCTCTTTTAGAAGTACTTTCCCGCAGAAATTATTGAAATGCCCTCCACTTGTAAAATCAATGGAGGCTATAAAAGCAAAAATTAAAACTGTGGGAACATTGTGAGAGACGCTAGTGAGCAGTTAGGAACTAGGGACTGTCTCCACTCGGGAAATTTGGGGCTGTGAACCTCACAGACATGGAGCACCCCTCGTAGGCGGTGCAGCCACACTTCGGGCTCTTAAATTTACACTCTTGCTGCTGTTTTACAATATTAAGTTTACATATATCTATTTTTAAGGTAAAATATTTTAAGTCAGATATATGAAGACAATATAGATGGATATATTTTTATTACAAAGTTGTGCAAATTTCTTGTAACAACTTTTTTTTTCAAGACAGTGTTTCTCTGTGTGGCCCTGGCTGTCCTGAAACTCACTCTGTAGACCAGGCTGGTCTCACACTCTCAGAGATCTACCTGCCTCTGCCTCCCAAGTGCTGGGATTAAAGACGTGTGCCACCACTACCCGGCTATATTAATTTTTAAGATCAGGTTAGCAAACTGTGAACCAGAGAGCATTTCAGAGCTGTGGTAGATGTTGTCTGAACAGGAACCTGGTAAACTACAGCACGGATTTACTTGACTGAAAGAGCCAAGGTTATAGACTATGTGTAT